TTAACCGTCATGGTCTTTATGGCATGGCCACTCTCGCGGACGCGCAAATATCCACCTTTCGACCGACTGCTCTTCTTCTCGCCACCTTTTTCTTTCGGCTGTTTCTGCACAGGCCGCGACTCTTCCCTTCGTCCACCTGCATCCTCGTCGACCAATGCGTCTCTTGTTCTTCCGCCAAACGGCGCTCATCGATCTTTGAAGCCACTCTTTGCGGTAATTGCACGTAATCACACCCGTGGTCATTATGAGAACGACTCGGCAGATGCGTACTTTTTTTCTCTTTTCCTTCTTCCTGTACGCTTCCTCTCTCGCCCTTTCTCTCCCCTTGTCACCCGTTTTCGTCTTGCGCCGCGTCCCTACGATACGCTGCTTCGCTTCGGGAATGTTTCCGGTCACGAAGTGAGAGATTCACCAGGTATGCCGATCCTCTTTAATGTGTTCATCTCGGAAAGTGGCGAGCAATTTGCTTCTGGCAAATTGTTTAGACAGCTTCCCTTTTTTTTTGTAGATACATTAAGGAAGAGAGGGATGTTGTTTATACATGGAAGGGTTGAGTGGTTTTCGTTGGGCAGGAATATGGATATTAGTTTCCTACGGAAATAATATGTTAATCGTTCCATTCTCAAATTAAGTAACACACCATGCAAGAAAGAGGAGTATACGTTTCGCGCAATTTCTCGATAAATTGTTCAATTTTTTCGAAGCGCCAAGTTATTGCGCGATATACTCTAATACGCAAATTCCTAGAAGTGGAAAAAACATAACTCTAGTATACAATAAATAAATTTGTTTAGTATTTTTCAACCTATTAACGTCAGATAAGAGATACCACAAACATGTTGATATTTGGAGTTGTTTACAAATGGAATAAAACTTATCTATAATTCTATGATTAGCTTCTACTGACAGTAATAGTTTGTGCGCTTTATATTACCACTTCTACGTATATAGTCGTGCGACTACTATCAATGTAGGAACAATCAGATTGAAACAAAGTTAGAAGAAATACTGTCATAAACTAACACATTCAATGCGTACAGCTACGCGTTTCTTCCAATATCAAATACAATCGGACGAACATATTTCTATCACAGAGTACCACACGAACAGCCAATAGGAATTCGAAACGTAAAATCTAGTACTCGTTAAAGCCATCCATCCCTTCCGCAAAGAAATGCAAATGACACGCCGCAGCATGAAGAAGAACGTAATGGCACGTTTCCATTTACCCTCAATTAAATGATTACAATGCGTTTGCCATTCGCGTCGCGGTTCTCTGACATTCCTCCTCAACGCTGTTCGATTATACGTCGAGGAATAAACTCGTTCGCCTCGTCATTATCTTTTCCTTCCACTCTAGCGAACGTCCACCCTTCATTTACCAAGTTATTCGTTTTTCCCGAAGCTCGTAGGCTTCCCTAATGGAAGGATTAATAAATCGACAAATTGCTATATCCCATGTAATCGTCGGCGACGTCGTTACAACGAGAAAACAGCTGGGCAGGTGCGTGCTTTTCTTTTTCGCTTCTTCTCGCCACGCGGATTCCGCGCCGGAGTCTCTCGTTCGAAGTCGAATAATCCGCAGGAAACGGACAACCGCCGGTAGAAAAACGAGATCGAGGCAGCCAAGTCGTTCCTTTCGCAGGAATGTAGCTCGATCCTTTCGAACGAAACCACCGAACGATCAACGAATCAGAAAAGCGTCAGTTCATCATAAAATCCTTATACCGTGATTAGCTAAATGCGCCATAACCAGATACGAAATTACCATATAATATCATACGGTCGACACTCGTGAAATACAACGACGAGCAGGCACCGAAGAAAATGTAATAGCGAGCAAACGATGGACGTTCGTCTTAAATTTCACGTTAATCTTCGAACGCGTCCTACGGCCGATGGAGTGTCGCAGGGAATTTCAAATTTTAAACGAGCCACACGACCTGCACAAGGATTTATAACGTATGTATATCGGTTGATACGTTCTACGTTATTAGCCGTCGTTAATTGGCCGGAAATTTTAACTTCGGAAAAGCTTTCGTTGAAAGCGAGGCGAACGATTATTGCTTCTGGCGCGCGTGAATGTGCGGTTGCACTTTTAACTCGGCTACGGGCGTTGAATTTTGATCGATCCAATCGTGATCTCGTTCGAAGAGAAGGAAACACTTTAAAGAAATAATTCTAAGGGAAGAAATAGACGATCGAGTTAAAAATGATGCAAAAGCTTTAGGAAGAAAACTGCACTGTTTTATAAAGTGAGCAAAGATTTTAGCAAGCAACATGTATATTAAAAAGTGTAACAATTTTGGTATTTGATCTAAAAACAAAAATAAAATGAAAAATGTAATTACAAACCAATGAAATAAATCGGATTAAATACAAAGAAGCTTTCTACTTCTATTTCGGTTCGATTAAATAATTTCTATCAATTGATATTAATTCCATAGAAAGTTCTGAGTGTAATATAATTCTATTCCACAAATTCTATTTCCTCTTAAACAGATAAACCCTATCGTCAATGTATCATTATCAATGTGTTCATATTATCTATACCCATTAATCTACGATTTTATTAACATCTCGAAGCCCATAAACTTCTCAACACTTTTACCTCTCATCCTTTAAGCAATCAAATAATAAAGAAACGACCAACGATCTGGTTCCAAACTTATATCAGCCACATCGTCAAAGAATTCGCCACTTTTACACAATTTTACAACTAGAAAATAGCAGTAACAATAACGTATATAGTTTATAACGTATAAAAGCGTACAACGTATCATATCGTACATTTGCTAAATATCAACCAATATGTTAGGAATATCAGGAACAATAGAATATTCACAGATGGACGGAGCACAAGGTAGGCTTGTTAGAAGCGGCGACAATTAATTCGCCGCAGATTATTACGTCCGAGAGCAATTGGTATCTACGTTATAGGTATATAGCGTCTCCTGGCACGGTTACTGTCTCGCTGGCAGATTAATTATTATCGGCTGGGATTATTACGGTGCTCCAATGGGTGGTCGGCCCTAACCGTGGTACGAACATCGCTCACGCGTTGTTTGATGCTGTTCGACACCATTAACGAGCACGCCGAGCGCGATGCGTATCGCCGATTCGCGCACAGGGCAGGTGGAACCACCCGAATAGAGGCGGAAGACCGATCAACGTGCAACGCGTGCGTGCCGTGCAACCGATCTCACAAAAAGAGTTTACGACGCCGCGGCCCAATAAGTGAAACTTCCAACGAATAATAAGATATGCTAATGAACTTCGGGCTTAAAAATTACGGCCAGCACCTTGTTTCCTGAGCTTTTTTCTATGCCACATCGGCATGCAGACAGAATCGTAAATCGCTACGTGTGTAACAATAAACAGTTTCATACGTGCGCAATCGCGTGACGCGACAGAAACGAATTAACCACCGAGACACGGCTCGATTCGATAAGCCGCCATGAATTTATCATTTACGTGTGCTATCCTCCTTTTTTTATTTTCACATGCCGAAGGTTTTGGCGAACAAGTGCGACTAAATTCTGCACGTGACTATGAAGTTTCCGTGGAAATCTTACTAGCGATTTTGGGGGGAAAAACAATTACTTAGGTCTAAATCTGGATAAAATAGTTTTGACTGCTTTATAAGCAATTTGTGAAATGTAAAATGGTTTTATAAAGAATTGAAGTCTACCTTATCGAGATTTGAATTTACTCAACCAGTTTTCCTTTCTCGGTAGTAAGTAACCACGTACCTGCAGTCATTAATTTCTACACTTTGATAAAATTCATATGTTGTAACCACAAATCTAGCAATGTGTTTAGAATGTTAAGAACGACATACTGTAGGTATATAACATTTATGACATGCAATTTCTCATCTTACAGGGGTCGAGTATTAGTTTCACGAGATTCAGCTTTTTCAAATGTCGAAGTAAGTACATACAAATTATACGAAGTATTTATATTCTCAAACTGTCAGACTCCACAGGTTCTAATTCCAGCGTTCGAAACCAGTTTGAATAATGTAAATAGGTAATGCATTCTGTAAATACAGGAAATGAAACAGCATTTCTTATTGATAGTAATCGAATTCCACCAAGTAAAACTGTTATATTGCAATTGATTCCAATTGGATTCCTTCTAAATATATTTACATATGTATATTGAGCTTCGTATCATCGTATAGAAAACGTGATCAGCAGAATTTACAGCTTCTATTAGCGAAATTTTTATTGTGACCAACTTTGGAATATTTAATTATGTTCGATCAATCCAGTTCTGCGTTGTTCGTAATCGCGTATGTTTGCTTTAAAAATAAGAAGTTTCAGTTAGAGCGATTTAAATAATTTAAACACGGTGTGTACCTACGTCCAGAGAAATTGGACGGAAAATAACTTAAAAGTAGGAATAAAATGTTTTAAGCGACGTTACACGTTCGATAATTTAATCTTATAAATGACGATGACGTAGAAAATCCTGCTGGAATAAACGAACGAACATTATATGCGATGTTTGTAATGGTGTTAGAGATAGTCAAGAGATTCAGAGGTAGTTTAAGAATCTGCGCATAAAAAGTGTACTAAGAGAGAGAACGTCGTTATTACATCCGTTAACTTACGTTAAACTTCTATTTCGTTCTAAGATAAAGATTTCCTTTCAAACAGATTAAAGTTAATGAAACAACGTTCAAGAGTAGCTCTGTGTAACTCTGTCTAAAATTATACACACATTACACCAGTCCTTAATAATCACATCTATTTCGTTCAATCAGCCATACATATAAAAGATGCTTAGTTTGCGTACGAAGATCACGTGGAAGAAACATGATAGATCATTTTTGCTGGTTTCCTGATCTTGACGCGAATTTGTTTACATAACTACTGACATAATTGAAAAGAAGAATAACCCTGCTCATTTAGAAACATATCTTTCAAAAATAAACTGACAAATTCCGATAATGAATGATTATATAACTACGTGTGTATTCATTTATCTACGACTTTATCTTAAGATGGTTCCATTGACAATAAAGTCACATTGACAAGAAACCTGTTGTTAATCAACAATATAACCAACTTCGTCAAAATCGATATGTTTAAAATATCCAAATGATTGGAAAAGACGTATATATAACTTCGACATGAAATAAAAAGAGGATTTTAATCGAACGACATTACTTGCGAATATATTGAATTTTAATACTGTTCCCTTATAACGCACACAGAACGTCACATACACGTTTTTTCCTATGGTTTTCATATGGAATATCGTACTTATATAACTTCTCCGGTCTGCGACGTTTTTCTTCATTATCGTTGACGAAGGTCCAGAAAGGGGCAACGAGAATCGCGGGGACGGCGAAACAATTAAGGAAGCTCGTTAATGAACAGAATTGTCGGTCGGGCCGCGGATCGTTTCGCATGTAACCGAAAGGAAAACAGGATAAAGCGACTGCTAAATGGGCCAATTATACGCGGGAACGACGAGGGTGCGAAAAGTGGGCTCCACGGGCAGCTAATGTCGGCGGCATCCCATAGAACAGCAGCTACGGGGACGGTTTTCCGCAAGACCGCGTCAGCCATGCCAGCTTCTTGCCGAGTTTTCGACACTGAAAACTTTGGCCTGACATTTACCGCGCACCCCGGGTCTCCTTCGCCATCGTGGGATCCGGTAACTCGATTTCAGACCCCTTGGAACACGCGCATGCAAATACCGAACTTACCAGGTAAACGCGATACTATTTTAATTACTAAGTTGTCGGACGGGCCGCCCTGCCTTGGGACCTTCTTAATCCGAGTTATCTCAAGCGTAATTTGCGATATTAAAACATCAGTTTTCCTACGATTTAACAGGATACCTTGCCAATTAAACCGTAGCTTTGGCTGGGTTTTCACCGATCGAAAGACAAATGTTTGCGAAGGCATTTTAACTCTTGACTTAGTGTCATGAAGTAGCAATTTCGGACGTTATAATTTTCCCCTGCACATTAATCGTTGAGATTTAACAACGTTGAGATTTAAAATTGCAGATTTGTATTTTTTATTTAGATATTTCGATACCTTAGCGAGAAATTAACTTAGGTATTTTTATATCAGCTGCGGAGTTAATGGGTTAATTAAGTTAGACGTATATTGGATATAACGGTTCAAACTCCAGGTTGAAAATTACTACGTTGATTCTGAAATAGCTCTTGAGATACGATTGGTTTTCTACAAGTGTTCTGGAAAAGTGTTTTTCCTTTTGTAGATATCCTTCGCAAACGCTAAAATTCTCTTAAAACTTCAAATAGAACGAATTGCTTCTACATTTATTCGTACTTTCGTAGAAAACAGATGTTTAATTATGTGTAAACGTAACATATTTAGTAATTTCGATTATTATACAATAGATTCCACTTAGAATTGGCATGAAGTCGACGTTTCAACAACGGTATACGCTGTCTAAAATGGAATAAGCGAAAATATTTTCGTTCAAAACGGTTATAGCGCCACATGGTTTAGCGTAAAAGTTTCACGCACACCAAGAAGAATCTTTATACGTAGAACTGTTATTAACAACTTCTTAAATACTTCAGGTATTTATATAAAGAAAATTTTGCCTGATTTCGATTGATACATCTTTATTATTCGAAAATAAGTCATCCAAGATAACTTTAAGCATCGCAACTGTATTAAGGAAATTACAGGAATCATGAGATTAATTGTTCGAGATCTTATACGCTTAATCGAGGCAAGGATAATTAAACTGATTAATGAGATTGATAGTTAGCGAAGATTTATTCGAACATGTATGCTAATCTCTTTATCGCCAAGTAATCAAGAATATACTTTAAAACATCGTTCGTATAAACGCTTGACATACTCATTCAAGTGAAATCAATATATCAATGTGAATTTTTTAAATTCATGTTCATCCGCCGGTGCATAAAGAAAAATCTAACCTCTGTAGATAATAACTTGTTTAATCGAATTTTCCCAGTTAGTAAAACATTACTAACAAATTCAACAAATTACATTTTAAACGTTTCGGAATAGCTACCTCGCGAAATAGTTCGCGCGAAAATCTCGGAAAACCACTTTGCGTTTATTCTTAGACAAGCGATGCGTTTGGAAAATACGCGATAATCGCTCTGTTTGAAATTACAGCCACTCAACATTATTGCTTCCTTCCATTCCTTGACGAAAAAAGGAAATCATACGAAGGAACGCGTCGATATCCACAAGGGCAACGTTGCGTTTAATCGTTGCTCGATTAAAAAGGAAGAAAGAAAAACAAAAACGAAAAAGAAAAAATGCAACAAGTGTAACTCTTATCTGGTACGCTCCAATTTTCTCGTAATTGCCTGCGAAGAAAAAAATTATCAGGAGGATCTCGGGAAGCGATCACGGAGCGTCTCACCGGCTGCGACGCGAATATTTGAAAATTTCATCGATTCGTAATCGCTTCATCGAAAGGCTGCTCTGGCCCAGTGCCTCCATCCTGGCCGAGCAATCAACGAACGCTTCTTTCCCGGGTGGTACAGCCGATCGGACTAGCATTATAAAACAAGCAGAGAGGCTCGCGTGTGAGCTTCGTTCAACAGCGGCATCCCGGCATCGTGACAAGCCCTGGGCGTTGATCGTCCGCCAGAAAACCAGTTCCCAGCTCTACTGGTTTTCTGTGTCGACTCTCTCCGTTTTACAAAGATACGTGGCCGAAGCGCTCACGCGTACCTTTCGAAATGTAGGGGAAACCCGTATAAAACCGTAGACCGGGGTAAAACCGTATATCATCCTATCTGCGTATTAATTCAAAAACACTGGCAGCCATTTGGTAATTACTTTTCATCGCGTTTAAGTGTTTGTCGATAGAAATTTATTACAAAATACATTGATTTGAATATTTATCATAGGAAACTTTCATATATACGTATATAATTTTATAATTTCACTAATACTGGAATGGCATGTATATAAATGTCACGATCACATTGGTAGTTTAAACCAATTGGAATATCTGCTTTCATAGAAGCTACGAAACGTTTGAGTCTCTGCAAATGTGCATTTAGTAAAAGAAATTAGTACCTATACAGACGGATACTAATTACCTATCATTATCTATGTAAATAGGTTTGCAGAGACTGTAGCAGATGGGACAGCATTCACCTGAAACAGGTAACAGCTGTTAAAGATAGTACCATTGAATATTGAAGGTTCATTAATATAACGGATAACCGACTACCTAACTGACTTTTGTGATCTATGTTAAATACATGTATGGGTCGCATTAAATATATCGTGGCTTCCATATACATTTCCAGATTTGCTTCAAACTTTACCAACGTGATTATGATAGCTGTATCTTCCTTCAATACCAGTGAAATTTCGATATGTTTTTTATAAAGTAGATAAAAAATTCTTACCAGTAAAAACTATGACTAACGATGCACTTGCGCGATACATCTCGCCGTTTATCACGTAACAAATTGAATCACAACGAACTGAACGGTCTATTTCGTAAACGTACATTGTCGAAAAATGCTTGGTAACCAAATTTGGCGAATTTCAAGGTAAATTATTGAACTGGTCCGAGATGTCATTCTGATTCAAATAATCCCACCTTACCCTACCTGTATGGAAACCTGTATGTATGGAAGACGCGCGTCGCGTTGCGTCGCACGAAGATCGACCGGACCGATCAGATTCTCCACGACTTTATTGGGCTACCAGTTATTATGATAATGCCGTTTCGACGGAACCTCGAAAAGGCAGAAACGTGAACGGGAGAAGAAAAGGATCGAAAGATGGAGAAGGAGAGAAACGAACCGGATCGGTGCTCTTCAGATGCAACCGCTTCGACGATATTCAAATCGTGACGAAATCCACGCGAGGAGGGTTCTCAAGAGACACGCTCGACGCGGTCACGGCCGCTGATTTACGATAAAGGTGAACGGTGGCCCGAATGGTGCAAATTAGGAGTCATAAGTCATCATTTAGGTATCCGATGCATAGTCTGACAGCGTGCAGGTAGTCGGCAGCAAAGCGTCGCGATATCGATGGTTCACGAGGCGAACAGCGAGAAAATTGCATCCTGAAATGCGCGTACGAGAGTAATTTTCGTCCATTCGACCGACTCGGAAGGATTCTGCCGGCGGTTTTCACCGAGCTAACGACCTGACGTCTGCGCTTCGAAATGGAAATGGAATGCAAATCGGATTCATTGCATTTGGAAATTGATGAGTCTCTCGCTTCCTTGAAAGCAGACGCGCTGCTCGCGAACGAAAACTCGAACGTTCGTTCTCTATGCAGCTATTCGATTAATAGGAACGAGCATCGCAGTTCATGCGAATACTTTGCGTCACGCACGACGGTTAATAGAAAAGACAGTTTCCTTTTACTCGTATGACGATGCAGCTACTATTTCAAGAACTTTAGACTTTCATGGCCTGAATTTCATCTTCGTATTGCACTTTAACGCTTGCGGAATATTCTTTCTATATAATTTTCATCGAAAATAAATTAATTTGTCGTTCGGTTAATTAGTAACTCGCTAAAATACACTGTTTGCGTAACTCGTTTCAACCATGTAATTGTATTTTCGCTAATAGAAAATTGTGTCTGTCGGTAGAATTATATTCATCTACCTTGATACCCGGAGATTAAATTTAACGAAGTGTAAACGTCGTTTCGCAAATTCAATTCGAGATTTGAAATGAAACGGCCGCGACGACTCTCGAATTAAACTGCGACGATGATCCAGTGACCTCGGGATTCGTAGACTGTGACGCGTATGCAGTTTCAGCCATGAAAGAGCTCCATTCTCGATTTCCTTCGTTCCATTAAAACGCGATTACAGGATTTCGCGCAAGAAGGAAACACGAAGAAGAAAACGATTTCCCTAGCACGCGTATTCTATGCACATCAACGTGCTGTATTCATCAAACCACTATTACGATCAAATTCGAGCTGCTAATGTCAGAAATTTCGATCGAGGAATTTGAAACGGAGAAACTAACGAAGATAGAGG